GAGAGGGATGAGCAAACTATTGTACAGTTATTATGAAGTGACCCGGTGCTTGCATTTAACGTCGTTGAGACTGGAGGGTACGGTGTAATCAGCTGTGCGGAATCTGGGACTCAGTGCAGGCATCACAACAGTTGATTGGAGAGACAAGTGCAGCAATGTTTATTGTCGACATTGTTGAAGGCAGGGTGGCAGCTAGTAGGACGCATGCAAGAAGAGAAAGACTAGAGACTTAGAGAGAACAAAAGCGACGACATGGTGGCACGGCAGAGAGTTAGCCTTAGAGAGGTGGTGGAGGTTGAAGAGAAAGAGTGGCACGCATAAGTGCGTCATTATATGCTCTCGATCTTCAGCCGTTGATTACATAAGCAAGTTAGGTATCAGTTGCCCAAGATAATCTAAGTATAATGTACATATTATATACTTATAGTATACTTTTATTAAGATAATAGGGATACAACAAGTGCTCTTACACTATTATATACATTAATATACCTTTTGCATAAATAATAAGATAACAATAGTTATTATTACATTATTATATTATAAATATAACTCTTTTTTTAAGATTATAATTTAAATGTAATACAAGCATAATACTTTAGGTTATCATACAAAGTTAGTATAATACATGTAATATATTTTATTTGTCCTTAATACTTATATAGTCTTTATATACATTAACATGTTTATTTTAACTTTACAATTTGTTTAAAAACCTTACAATTACTTTACAATGTATATACAATACATATATTACTTTATAAAGTCTATAAGAAATTACAAGAAATGTGACATTTTCCTGATGCATACACAATGAATCAGACAGTAGACGCACGGGGTATCCTCCTCCTCCTCGAAACTTGCACGTTCGTTGATTGTTTTACCCTCAAACTCTGTGATCAGTGCAAACCTTTGCCGTAAAGAAGACCTATTGCCCTTAAGCCTAAACAGTCCAAAGCAAGTGGCCGTGCATGACTCTATAATGCTTCGTACTTCCGGCTTGTCAGGGTAGTAGCATTTGCCAAGCTGAAGGACGCAATAATTCACATATTCGTTATACACGTCCATGATAGTATTCATGTATCCGTCGTATGATCGCAAAGCGGAATCGACAAGTTTGACTGCGAAGTATTTTTCAACGCCATGGGGATTGTTAGGGTTTAATAGTTTTGCTTTCCAGACAAGACCAGTTGCGCCTCTTGAGCAAGTACCCTCTACTTGGAGAGTAGGCATTTCAGACGTTCCAAAGGGCGGGAACGTCACTCCTGGCTCAATTTCGAAAACTGCCGACTCAGAGAGGGGGGCCTCATAGTTGGTACAACCGCGAATGATCTACACATAGTCAGACCGGTATCAGGCAAGAAGAAGGAAAACTCACTATAAGACCAGCTCTCTCTGCACCTGTCAAGCCTGCTTTCCGGACCTTTTGTTTTGGTAGGACAGCAGCATTTGCGAGGCGAGTGGTTTGTAAGTCAGAGTATCTCCTGCCAGTACCCCTGCCCCCGAATTTTTTGCGTAGTTCACTGAAAGGACTAGACTTGGATCCACCAGATTTACCAGTACCTGGACCAGCGCTTGAACCAGCACCTGATCCACCACCTGATCCACCACCTGATCCACCACCTGATCCACCACCTGATCCACCACCTGGTCCGCGCCGCCGAGGACCAGAGTCGTCATCGTCACCATCAGGTTTCTTCTTATCCCTGACCTTTCTCTTACCCTTTCCATCCTTCTGGCGCTGTGTCAATTCTTTCTGTATCTCCTGTGCCTGAAGTAAGTACTTCCGATAATAGGCGTCAACATCCGGGTCATCGAATTCTGGTCCAATGCCCAGTCGAACGAGGAGTATGCCCAGCAGAGTGCGGAAAAGATCAGAACTATCTCCTTGCAAAATTGTCTTCGAGTACGCAAAGGCTATCTCGGATGTCAATGGGACCGTGTATCTGCGCATGACAATCAGCTTTTGAGCGTCAAAAACGATTATCCAGCGGTCGTCATAAAGCCATGAATAGTACATGGCCTAAATCTCGCAGTTAGTGCCTGAAATGCTTATCTAGAGGCAGAACGCACATACCTTGAACAGCACGCTTTCTCCAGGCGATGCATTAGGCTGCATTTCAACTTCGTGTGTCTGGTTGCTCTCTAAGAGGTTTACGAATTGATCCATGACACTCGGCGTTTTACCTTCCGCAAGAAGCAAGATAGAACCGTTCTCGTCATAGAAAATGAGGTCCACCCTCTCTCTAGTGTCGGTCCCAGGGTTAGCTGGCTCCGTCTCTATTCTGATCACTGTGTCGAAGAGCCATTGCAAATAGAATTTGAGAGCAAAAGCCTGGTTCCTCTCTACTACAGCCACACACTAAAGCACGGAACGCCATAATCGTTAGTGGCGACAGGAATGAATATTGGATGGTCACTTACATTTCCCTCATGTCGCAATCTCCATTCGTCGCGGTGTACTCCGTAGTACGTATTAGCATGTGGAGAGAACAAGCCGCCATACATAAATTGCAGTTCGTTTACACTCTTAACTTGCGGCTGAAGATTATGGGACCTGAGCGCGTCGTCGGCGCGGGCTTTGAGTTGTACATCCATGTCCTCGTCTAGGAAGACAAACTTAGGTATATCGCCTGCGGGGACGTTACTAAGACTCGAAGCTGTAACACCATGGAAGGTAATGCTGGGACGTCCAGCTCTAGGAACGTATACTGGATTGATGTACTTAGCATTTGCAATGGTCCAATCTGCAGCATTGACTGACATGATGAGAGTGGGTCGAAAAGGGGCGCCTAGGACGTATCGACAAACGCCTTGCTCACGATCATCTGGCGGAGATCGAAAGTCCGCAAAGGTCGCGCATAACTCGTCTTATGGCCTTTTCTTCACGTATTCTTCCTTAATTTTCTTGAAGTTAAAAGTCTACAACTTGAGAAATTGCAGCATGACATCTTGATTTCCTGAACTCGAAATAGATCTGATAGTCAAACATTTGCATTTTCTGGGAGTCTCAACATGCAGAAATCAACAAATGCAAAATTATCGAAATTGGAAAACTTGTAAAGGAAATCGCGCATGCGCTGAGGGATCTCGAGATGAGTTTAATTTTAACTCCGACGTGCCCGGCTTATCCAGGCTTTCCATCACTCCTCGAACCTTTCGAGGAATCAGCTGCCAGCGTCTCAATAATGCAGTACACTGTACAGCCCTTCACAGTGTCCATTCTTTTTTTAGGCTTACTCTACATCACAAAACGTGAAAAAATCTTGTATACCCTTCTAGATATGGCAAGGTAGATTAAGTATTAGTAAACTATACAAATAAATATAAGTACATACATGTTAGTAGTATACTTATTTTTGAATTACAATATAGAGACAGAATTCTTATTTGAATATAATCTTATGTAATTATTTGATATACAGTCAAATATGTCTTATTGTATCAAATGTATATGTATAAATTTAATAATGTATGGGAAAAGCCCTTATCCTGAGCTGAGATAAGGGAAAATATGCAAAAATGACAACATTACATAATAGATCAATGTGTGTGTGAAATTTATGTAAAAAGCTAATCAAAAACTGAAGTGCAACTTACATTTTGAGTAGAATTTATTATTCTGTACACTACCTAACAATATTAAGGGCTGAAAAAGAGTGCTTTAATACATATTTTGTGTTTCTGATAGACATCCAAATACTTACCAAAGCCTTAATCTGGACACTAGTCTGATATAAGTTTTCTTGACAATAATAAATCTTGAAGGAAAAAGAAAAATATAAAAGTATAGAAAGAGTATAGAAATTTTAGACTTATCTCTTGATTTTCTATATCTATCCAGAAGCTAAAGCAGACTCAGAGGAGTGTATACAAAAACAAGCTAGACCTAAAACTAGGCAAGTAGATAGAGAAGGTAAAGTCCTCAGCTTGTATAATATAGAAGAGAACAAACCTTACATGTTCTGACTAGCTTAAAGTTCTTAACTTCTGAGACAACTATTCTGATCTTTCCTAGGACAAAATTGTTAAATACTTTAGCTTTAAGTATAACTAGACTCTTATCTTTACTCAGTCCTCTTTGTACTACAACATTACTTGTTATAAAGTACTTGAAACCTGTACAAAAGCTACTCTAACCTTCTTGTCTAATAAATAACTATGTCTTATAGTAAATATAATTGTTAAAGAGACTCTTATTCTTTAGTAACACTCTATAAAGGCTTGTAACAAAATTGTAACTAGAGTAATACTACTTGTAAAGTGTTTTCACTTTGAGGACACATTTAATGTTCCTAATAAAGACTGTCTAAGAAGCTATAGCTGAGTAAACTCCTTTATAAGAATGTAAGTCCTCTCTCCTCACTTTAATCTTGTTCTTAACTGTGTTAGTCAAGTTATACACTTCTCTCCTCTCTTTACTTCTATTCTATTCTTTACTATGTTAATCAAGTTGAATACTCTCTCTCTTACTTTAATCTTACTCTTAACTGTGTTAGTCAAGTCATACACTCCCCTTACTTCTATTTTATTCTTTACTATGTTAATCAAGTCAAATACTCCCCTTCTTACTTTTATCTTATTCTTTATTGTGTTAATTGTATTCTCACCTTTTTAAATCTCAGTTATAGTATTAAGAGTATCTGTTAACATAGAGAGACAGTATCTGTAGATCTTAAGTAAGTAATAGTAGAACAGGTCTGACTTTCAAATATTCTTAAAGACTACAAACTTAACAATTGTTAGAACTTTAATAAGACTAGACTCTTTGTATTATAAGTTTTACATTTGATTATTATCTTAAACTTTTATTCTTAAGTTACACAGTATACTTCCAGATCAAGGTCTTGCTTTACAACAAATAAGTAGGAGGAGGAGTAGCAAATTTCAAGTTACAATTGGATTTGCTTGTAATGTTAGTAGTACAGAAAAAGAAAAACTATTCTTTATTAGAAAATCACATATACTTAAGTACTTTTAAAATATCTTACCTGAATAACAGGGAATATATTATTAGTCAAACAAATTAGTATAAATGACTGTAGTACTTTTTAAGGAGTGAGTACTCAGTTCTTTACTACTTTTAACTCTTCTTCAAAATTCATTATAGTAGTTAAAGTAATTCAATTTTAAAAAGTATCTTTAAAGGTGTAAAGTTATATTATTACTTAATAACTTTTCTGAACACTCTGTTACTTATGCCCCTCAAAACATTAGGCTCAAGTATTTTTCACCAAATATAATGTTATTTGTACAACTACTAAATGCTAGAATTATTAGGACCTTTAAGGTATTATACTATAACAACTTTTGTCTTTATACTATTAATATATACAAGGCTAGTAAACACAACATAATATAAGATTAATTTACTTAAGGCAATACTTATAGCTAAGACTGTATAGTATAAGATTAAGCTATCTACTATTATTAACTGTTAGAATTATACAGAAATTCAAAGGTAGACTTTACTATGTCTACTATATAATTACTAATGTAAATTTCTTCATTTTAGTACTTATAATGTGTCTCTACCCCTCCCCTCTTTACAACCAGAACAGTTGTTATTTCTCCTAACTAGTGTTTAGATATATAGGAAATCATGTATTAATATGTATACAGTAAAATTAACACAGTTTTAGGTGTGTTTGTACATTTGTAATCTGATACACTCTTACTCAATATTATATTGATTTTGGATACATTTACTCTACTACTTTTGTCACACATTCTCTCCTAGTATTAGAGGTTGAGAAGTATCTCTAGGACTGTCTTAGTTCAGTTTATACATGTGAGGATTAGGTTCTTGTCATTAACACTATATTAAACACTAAGAATAATATTAATACAGTTATTACAGCTGTTAAGAACCTTACTAGGGACCGAAATGGTTACCATCCGTGCTATCTGTGATCCACACCGTGGATCAGCTTTACTGTGGATAAAATTCCCACGGTAACCACAGTGTACCATGACACTGTAAAAATACTTGGCTACACACTGCTAGTACTTGTCTTTTTTTTTGTAACAATTCCTACTTTGCTTTTTAACACTTACTTCACATGTAACTCATAAGAATATATACTATACATTAATAACAATAAGTATTATTCAGGTGGGAAAATGTAAATATAATTGGAGTTATTTTTTATTTTTTTTCTGAGTGTATGTTGAAATTGATTACATACAAAATTATGTAAATGAAAACAAGTCAGGTGAGACTCTTGTAATGATTGACACTACTCTACAAAGGCAAATATCTTTTGTCAGCCTGCCAAACAGAGCAGTGCTGATTAGTACTGTGGATGCACAAAAATCCACAGTTACTGTGGGAATGTTTACTGTGGTACAGTATCTGTGGGAATAAACTATCCACAGTGTGGATCTGTGGATTTGCTAATCCATTCAGGTCTCTAAACCTTACTCTAAAAGGAAATGTACAACTGTCTATTACTTATTCACTAGACAGTGTTATTACTCCTCCAGGTGTATATAATTACAGTAGTCTGTTCTGTTACTTATT